ATATCTTGCTGTCAAAAATATCCTTCCTAATTCTTCCTTGTTCTGGTGCAAACACCACAGCACACCTGCATATATAACCAGCATTTTATTATATTGCTAATTAAAATATCATGCACTTGATGTACAGAACTCAGTGCTTGAAGCACAGTAGCAACAGTCTAGTGAGGTCAAACTGCTCAGAACAGTTTCGGAGCAGTGTGTGTTCGGCAGCGTGATCAGTGTGTGTCATGTAAATAATCGTAGTGGGTCACTAGCACACACAAAGTACAGTTTCAATATTTAGTTTATATGTTTATTGAAGAATGTCACGTCATGTCATCAGATGCTAATGTTTCGGGACCTCGCAGGGACCCTTCATCAGAGCGAATATCTTGCACGGCGCCATCTGTGCGATCACCATGAGCACCACTAATATTGTGAGGTTGTAAGACCGTAAGGAGTGCAGCTGGTTTTTGGAAACTCCTGTCATGTAAATGGCACACTTCATAACACTGCTCCTGTACTCTTTTTGGGATGCTACAGAAATGATGTTATCAGTATTAGTAATATTTTGTAAGTTCTTGGGTATCCCCTAGAGGGACTTTGCTATAGCATGGCCATCCCCCAAACCCATAACTTTTCTTTGTTCTATACCTACAATTTGTGTCTTTAGTAATATAGAGTATCACTTAAATTCTAAAGTTTATGTTGTATCCTGTAATATTATAGTTTTATTTCTCGTTCATTGATGGACACAGGATTGAGACATTTAGAAAGTTCATAAGAAGTCCAACTGAGTGGTGACCAATACAGCAAAACAATAGAAAACCTGGACTGAACATCCACCTGCTAGAACTTAGAAAACATGTTAACAGAAGACCAGGTGGCAGCATTACAAATTCGGAAAAATCTGGGAACGTTACCTGATGCAAAAAATCTCAAGAACCACGCACAGATCTAGTAGTGTGTGCCTTGACAGAAAACAGTGGAACCTGATCCATAAGGCCATAGGCTTGAACAATAATCTTTCTGAGCACTGGTGGAGTTCCCCTTTGTGGGGACGATCTGGGATGACAAAGAGGGAAGGTAGACTTGTATAGCACAAACTACATCCAGGCAATTATATCTCCTGATGTACTGGAACTAGACAGAGGGATGGAAGAACAATGTCCTGATTGAGATGAAAAGCTGAAACCACTTTAGGAAGGTTTGGCCTCAACACTACCATGTCTCTATGTAAGACCAGAAAAACAGCCTTGTAAGAATGGAAAGGGGAATATCTCTAATAGGTTAAAAGGGCAGTTTTTAAAGTGCAAAGAGAAACAAATTCAGATCCCATGGAGAGAAGGATGAACATACAGGGGGAGTCACATGAGAGACACCCTAAACAAAGGTCTTAATTAAAGAGTGGGAGGCTAGCAGTCTCAGGAACATCAAGATTTGCCCCTTGATGGTAATCAGAGCCACATGCTCATCCAGGCCTGATAGCAAAAAGGTCAGGATCCGTCTCATTGAGTATTTCTTGGTATGAAAGCTCCTTTCCTTGCACCAGGTGAAGTATGCCTTCCATATGCGGTGGCAGACCTTGTGGGAAGTGAACTTCCTAGCGTTTACAATAATAGGAATCACCAAGTAGGAAACGCCCCTGTTGGTGGGTAGGGGATCAAATACTTATTTTACTCACTGAACTGCAACTCAATTTATAACATTTGTATCATGTGTTTTGTCTGGATTTGTGGTTGATATTCTGTATCTATCATTTAAAATACTCCTATGAAAAAAATTATAGACCTTTAATTTCGTTGTAAGTGGGCAAACTTACAAAATCTGCAGGGGATCAAATAATTATTTTCCTCACTGTACATACATATGAACACTTTTTTTTAACTTTTCAATATAATAAAATAAATATAATAAAACACACCTAGCAGTGCTTTCTTGTAAATGCTTTATCTCAACATACTTACCTGGCCTTAACAATCATGTAAAAATATCTATATTACCATGGAGTTTCCATTACACTATTTTTTTTGTGTGGAAGAGATGAGGTAAGCATAGCATTAAAGTAAAACTCAATGCAGTCCCCTGCTCCAGTACTTCAGTTCCTACAAAGTGTTATAATTACTGTATTATCTTGTAGCAGTTAGTTCAGCCACTATTTCTCCTCTGCTGACAGTTAAGGACTCGTATATTGGCATACTATAAAAGTTAATAAAGAATGCAAGCTTAGTGACAGCCATTGTGAACAGAACCAAGGGTTTTGTCAGAGGTCTACATTCGTATTGGGTGCTGGGGAGGGTGGTGGGGGTTAACAATATTCTTTCTTATCCTTTCTGTTCACTTATACTGTCTAAAAAGGTTTGTGATCTGCCACTACATAGGCTCCCTACGGTTGCCTTTCACCCTAATAATTGTAAATCAGAAATAAATATGTGTTGAAGGGCTTTATAGAGAGGTTTAAACCGATGCATAAGTAAAATGTATCAAAAATGTATTTAACATACAAATACAGTAAAATGTATTCCATTTGATGCAATATGCAAATTCATCCATAAAAATACAAAATCATAAGCCCCATGTGTGTAGTCTCAGGCCTATTGTTACTTTAAAAACATCCATGATCACAGACATTAGTGGATACAGTATCCTAATGAATTTCCAACATGATAAATCCCTTCTAATTGATGACCATGTGGATAAATGTCCAAACACATATCTGAGAGTTCGTCCCGACGCGTTTCACAATTTGCTTCTTCAGGGGACCGAAAATAGGATAATCACACACCTTGGGTGCCTGGAGTAGGGTCGATGAAGAACGGAATGAGAGAGAGGGGTGGCTAGATGCTAATGCAGGTATCGCAATCACCTCTCCAATCACCGGATCAAAACGAATAATAATTCTTATTATGCAGAAATTTCCAACAAATTTATTAAGGAGCACAATATCTACTCATAGTTTAAAACTTAATTTATTGTATATTTAATTATAGCAATATTGTTTGGTTGATGCACTTTATTCTAGGACACAATTACTGATTTGAATGAGATCGCACTTTATATTTTATTAGTCATTTATATACTTAGCACTGTGCACCTTAATTCATAATTGCCTATAGTTTACTGGAAAATAAATCTTTAAAAAAAAACCTTAACTGAAGTACCATCCCCTGCAGTGCTTCTCTCACTGCTATTTGTGTCTGTTAACTATACAGAAGGACCAGATTTTAGATTTGAGTGATATGACTGACTGCCTCAACCGGAGCAGCCAATCACAGCCTCTACTCACACAAGCCCACCTTCAGCTGCGGCTGATACATAGAACCAACTCGGAGCGCAAACTTTGCTGGCTGCACTTCCCTGGCATTGACTCAATGGGGGGCATTTCAGACCACTACAGGGATAACAGCAATCCTCTCTGGAGCATGCTGGTGGTGACTGGCTGATTTATCCCACTGTGGCTGCATTACAGCAACAACAAACAGTAAGCTTTTGCAAACCTTTTGTTTTTATTCACACTAAAATTAGTGAAGTGATTTTATAAAGTTTAATTGGGCTTTAAAATATAAAATCAATAACAGCATTTCAGACCATTTCCAGCACAATCACACACATAAAATCCAGTACTGCACTAACAATTCTTAAGCTGGCCATACACAAGTAGAGTTTCGATTGAAAAAATTTGTTTTGGAAAATGTGTTCAATTTTCAACCAGTTAATACCCCACAGCGGTGAAAAAAAAATCAAAGGAACAGGATGGAAAATTCTAAATTCCAACAGTGATTGAGGTTTTTGTTTGAGAAACTCCATTCATTTAAAAAAACGAACATTAAAATCAAATAAGAATTTAAACCGACGTTCTACAAGTCTACAGCAAAGGAAAAATCCGGCTGCACTCCGTTCCACACTGAATCAGTTTATTGAAAGTTCATCAGTGACACGGAGACCTGCCTGAGGTCCGTCCCCTCTGACATGTTTCACCCTATGACTAAGCCCAGGGTTGGGTGAAACATGTCAGAGGGAGCAGACCTCAGGCAGGACTTAGTGTCACTGATGAACTCTCAGTAATCTGATTCAGCATGGAATGGAGTGCAGCCAAATGTTTCCTTTATTAAATACCTGTTTGGTTGGAGTGAGGATCTACTCCTGCCTGTAAGCTCACGGCTGTCTTTCCCTGCTAAAGCCGTGGAGGAGCAGTGTTTTTTTTCTATGCCATGGTGTAACAAATATTCTACAAGTATTATCAAAAGTTTTGATGAGATTTTTTGTATGAACGTTTGTGCAAAAATCTACCAGTGTACAGGTGAAACTCGAATAATTAGAATATCGTGCAAAAGTAATTGCAGTAAGTGCTGCAAAAGGGGCCCAAACCAAGTACTGAGTACATATGCATGCTTGTACTTTTCAGAGTTCCGATATTGTTCTATGTACAATCCTTGTTTTATTGATTGCATGTAATAATCTACTTTTTTGAGGTTGTGGATTTGGGGTTCTTGGGGTTTTCATGAGCTGTAAGCCATAATCATCACAATTATGACAAATCACGGCTTGAATTATCTTGCTTTGCATGTAATGAGTCTATCTCATATATTAGTTTCACCTTTTAAGTTGCATTAGTGAAATAAATGAACTTTGCACGATATTCTAATTATTCGAGTTTCACCTGTATGGCCAGCATTAGTCTACAGCCAGCTGGCCAAAATAAAATGTAAAAAAAAAGACCAAGTACATGATGTGAAAACAAAAAGGACATAGAGATTCCTTCCCATGAGAGTTTACAATGTAAACTGTATAATGCAAAGTAGACTTTTTCCCCCAATATCAATGTGACACACCTTTGGCCACTGTGGTGACCTTAGCTTGTGAACAGCAGGAAGAATGGGGCATGGTCACACAAATATACAATAACATGACCGTCTGCTGAATCACAAAAATAAGAGGCATATGGTAGATATTAAAGATAAAAATACTCGACTGTAAAAGGGTTCATGTCGGTTATGCAGAACGTACTGTATATATCCACCTTATTAAAAAATCAGCATTCAGCAATAAAAACAGACATCAAATGTGACATCTGACAGGAAAATGCTGGCATAAGCAGCAGAATTAGCAGCACTATCAGACTATGTGGATCTCCCAGTCTGCACAGACTTGCAGGGACAGGTTCTCCAGGCTCAGAAGGCAAAGTTGGCTGTTGTACGTGAATTCCACCGTTTTCTTTCCTCCTAGATGGAAGCAAAAATATGCCTGTAAGGCCTCACAATAGAAACAAACCTTCTAAGTCATCTGTACTCATACATTCTGCGGTATACTGTGACGCTGCAGCCGGAACGGATCCCGACAATTATGTCTGGATCCGCCCAGCTGCGTGAGTGACAGCTGGCTCTGCCTATCTAGAGGCAGAGCCAGCTGTACCCGCCCCCGTCCGTTCCGCCAGTCAGCGCTGGAGGATCGGACAGGGGAGGGGGGAATCCAGTTTCTCCCCTGTCACGGCTCTCTGCCGCCACAGGATCGAGAAGTGAACGAGCGCCCGTATGTGTTCGTTCACTTCCCGATCTACTGAGCCGACCTGTGACAGTTTCATTGTCACAGGTCCGCTCAGATTATGAGGCTGAGTGAAAATCACTCACCTCATAGTTCTCCTTTAAGCATAATGTAATGTGTCACAATTATGGTTGGGCTCCATTTCATTTGTATGCTTGAGCCCGGAATCCTTTGCACCCCACCTATTGACGATCTACAATGAATACCTCTCTTTAGAGTTGTATACATCCAGAGACGGGACAGGTAGGACTGGGCAGTAGGTGAGAAATATCAAGAACAGAATGTTGATTGAATATGGAGTCTTCTGATTTTATGACTATAAATTTGATTTGTCTGCATCCTCCTGTTTTTATATTTCCACTCCTTTCACCCAAGATCATAACTGAGGAGTCAGCAGTTATGTTTGTACTTTATTACTTCACATTCCAGGCATACTGTACACGTGTTTTCCATTGTATATTACATAGTCAATATAATCAATATAGCAGATAAAGCGAGATTAGGAATGTATTTACTACTTGCAAACGGCTTCTAGTATTGAATATTCAATTTTTACTACTATATGACACCACCAGATGCGATGTTATATAATGTGTTGTTATCTGATACTTTTTCAAAACAAAGATTGCCTACTATGATTATATTATGTTATATAATACGCCATGAGGTAAAAATGTGGACCTGTGTGTTGTTATACTAAATGATCAGAAATAAAGGGCGCCAAACCAAAATGCGAGTCCAAAAGTGCCTTTTAATTGTTCAGAATTCAATCAAACAAAAAACAGCCAATGCATTTCGGAGGCAACAACACTCCCCCTTCATCAGAGCTTAGAATGGGAAAAGGACTGAAAACATTTTCTGCTGCCAATTCCAGCCCTAAAGGAGATCTTTATATCAAAACATAGAAACGTATGTTTACTTATAGTATCATTTGAGTTCAATCAGACCCCTATCCCAGTCTAAGCCCTGAACCTCAGCACCAATTAAATTTGTTCCTTTAGGTTTATACAACAATGTGACTGTGCAAGGGCAGCAAACATACAGAACTAGTATAGGAATCAAAGTCTACTATTGGCTAGACTACATAGCAAATATTAGGGCTTCTGAGTGTCTGGTGTTTATCCTAAAGATTGTCCTACCATCTTGACCAGTGCCTGACAGCTTTGGATTTAGTCAAGGCACCTTTTAAAGGTATGCAAAACGCAAAGAAACCACAGTCTAAAATGTAAAAAACATAAATGTAAAAAAAGACGTGTGTTGTGACGTGGTGGAACCCCACACCAAAACACACAAAAAAGAGGTTCCTCCCTTCACATCAGAATCCCCCCTTTCTCGTAAGAATCCATCTTTACATGAGGAACCTTTTATATTAGGAGCCCCTTCCTTTCACATCAGAGTCCCCCCCTCACATTAGAAGCCCCACTTAACACCAGAAGCCTCTTTTCACATCAGAGCCCTCTTCTTTTATATCAGAGTTGCCCTTTTTCAAATCAGAGTTCCCCCTTCAAATCAGAGTCTTCAGTCCTCCCTTTATATCAAGAGTCCTACTTCAGTAGCCACAGTTGTGGCAGAGGGTAGAAGGTGGAGCAGGCCTGTAGAATGGTGACATTTCTTCCTTTTCTTGGACCCCAATAGATTAGCGCATGCCATTTCCATGGTGCTGGTGGCCTATCAGTACCAAGGAGAGGCATGTACAAAAATTTCAAGGCACACCTGAGGCAGCCAGAAGGTTGAGAAAGGTTGATCTAGACATCAAATGCTACATCACCCCTGCTGTTTCCCCAGGATTCTAAGGCAGGTTTCTGAAGTATAAGTACTTCTACATGATGTACAGAGAGAAATATACACCCCTATGCTATTTTTGTGCAAATGATGTTGCCCATTGTTCTAGGCAGATCCCTTCACTTGCACAGTAACAGCCCCATACTTTTCCAGCATAGCTACCAATGTACAAGTATTGAACAGTGGATATCTAATGTATGGCTTCACCTGTACAGCTGCATCTTTCAGGTCTGGGATTTTTTTACATAAATTACTACTTACTACTTCTCCCATCTACCACTGGGGCAGAGGGACTGTAAACACTGCAGCAGAGATCCCACTTCTCCCTTCCTCATGTAGTCCAGCCTCTAGCACCATAAATCCGTACCTCCATAAAGACCTGAGGCCGGAGAAAGACAATAAAAAGCAGATAAATTGCACCGGCGATACACTGATCGTGGTGCAATGCTCTGCAGGCTTCAATGCAAAAATGCAGTAAATACACACTGATCATGAGATCAATCTTGCTGCATTTACAATTTTGTTTGGGAAAAGGTCGATTAAGCCTTTAATTGTAACCTGCTTTTTTATCGGTCTGCGCATTTGAATGGCTAGTGTATGCAGAAAGTGGTTTATTCGTTGTTGAACTGTTAAATGAATCACGAGGGACTCATTCTTAACCAAAAACCGCAGCCATCATTTTATGAAAACCAAAGTATTAGTGAAAGGTTTGAGTTATTAGAAATAAGAGATAACCAGAGTTCTTACCACAGTCATGTGCAGTGACTTCAGAAGGTGATTTCTTCAAACCTATTATATAAACTTTTTCCAGGAAGCAATTCACTGTGTGGTGACCTTCTTTATCTGCGGAACTAAATAAAGAGAAACATTCTATGTCTGTTATAACAAGTTGTTTTTTTTCAAACAAAAGAGCATTTGGCTGTGGTCACAGGGTTGTAACCCTTTAGCTGCTGGAACCATTTATTTCAGCTTTGTTCACACAATAGAATGACATTTTTGCACATGAACTATGTTACTATTACACTTTCAACCCCAATACATTATATATTTACTGAAAGCAGAGACCCTGTAGAATAAAATGGTGGGGGATGCAATTTTTCATGTCACATATTTGTGCTACTAAACTAATATATTAATATATAATCCCCAGTTTTTTTGGTAAAGCATAAAAGATTAGATTGTGTCAAGAAAACAGATACCATGATCAAGCCCTAACTGCGTGCAGTCACGAAGCAATGCTTTAAATGTCTTTACAGCTCATCAATTTAGAGTTAAGCCTGAATGATGATCCAGAACTACTTCTCTCATTCTGGTGTGCATGGTCATACCTAATATGTGTGATGCAACTGTTGTTTTCATATGGGTGGCACAGACATGCACGTCTGTATGCAAGTGTACGTAGGTACAGGGGCTTTTAATTTATTTTATTAAGCTTTCATTTTTGTAACCTTTTTAACTTACTTTTATTTCCATCATAAGAAGGCTGGTAAGCCCCGTATGTGATAGAATAGTGCAAGTGATAGGTTCTTTTTAAGAAGACATTAGGGGACTATTAGACCCCTAATTTCACCTCTGCACTCTGCTGAGGCCAACTAAGCACAGACTGTGCTCCATCAGCTTATTCCCTGGCCAAACTGGCTGAGATTTGACTATTCTGAACCCAAAATTGCTCAGAGCATAGTGCTTCTGGGTTCATAATACTCAAAGAAGATTAGTGAACAGGAAGGGGGGAGCATCACAGTTCCTCCTCCTCAATCAGCAACAAATGTCTCCTCCAGGCTTAACGCCTAACAGAGCATTTTCCACACTCAAGAATTTCCACCCACAGGCCTAGGCAGGGGGCAGGCTTGACAGCCCCCAGCCCTGAATGGACACTGGGCTATCCCAGAACTGGACTGAGCACATGGCAATTCTCCTGCGTATATATGCCCTGTCCCAGCATGCACCACTGGCTATGAGAGCCCCAGTGATTGCCTGGTGGACTGCACACACACTCACAGTGTCCTCCATTGGTTGCCCCACACTGCAGCAGAGTCACACTCCACTCAGGCAGGTACAATCAATGCCAGAACACCTGGAACCGACCAGATAAATGCCAACTATAATTGAACCAGACTGACTATAGCTCTGAAAATCACTAAATGTCTAGTAGCCATGCCACAAAAGGTGATGGGGGGCTAAATATGTAAACTTTTTAAAATTGTGTTTGTATAAATTAAAAAGTTCGGGGAGGAGGGGGAGAAATTCTTCTCTGCCACAAGAGCTTGTCTCTGTATTGCCGTGGGGCTTCTTGTAGCTTGGACAAGGTATAGCATAGGGCTACTTTAGATGCGGCCCTCCATTTGACACGTGAATACAAATGTGGACCTTGGGTCCTTTAAGCTGGACACAACTGCTCTAGACACAACTGTCAGAGCTGGGAGAGAATGGACATCAGTCTTGTTTGCAACTTTATTAGAAATGTCACCACCTAATATACAGGTATTCTTACCTTGAGCTCAGAACATTTCTTGAAAATGTAAATCTTCGATGACTATACATGTGTTCATGCAGGTACTGCAAGGAGTGGCCATCGTCGACATAGAGCTCCCCTGCAGCAAATCCCTGTTAGTAAATCATAACCTAAAATTACATGTCACCCATTGGAAAGAAAATAAAGCTGGGCATACTTGCAAAACATTTATAATGTCTGACACAGCAACATACTGAAGCCATTCAAAGATTACTTTTATATCACTGTTTTAAATCTATTGGATTCCAGCACGGTGGACTATGCACATGTATTTCACTCTGGAGTGACTATATTAGTGCATAGAAATTGTAACTGTTAAATGACTTTATTGTGAAAAAAGGAAAGGGATTAGGGTCCATTCACACCATCTGCATTGGGATGCATTTCTCAATGCATTGCTACTGCATAGCACTCAAAAAACAGTAACATTTAATGAGGCCATTTCACATCAGCACGTTGCTGATACAGCTGTACAGAAAAAAAAAAAGTAGAGAATGCTTTTACTTTTTTCACGCGTCAAAGAATAGGATATAAAAGGAAAAAGGATATGACCTCACAGGTAAAAAAACAAAAAACGCAATGCAGCACTCGCCAGCTACAGAGGACTACAAATCCCAGCAATAGTACATTATAGTATAATGTACTATTGCTACATTCCTCTATAGCTGCTAGTATTCTGCACTGCGCCGCTGTATAATGTACTATATTGCACACCACACTTTTTTTTTACTTCCACCGCGCCAAGCTTGCTCCGGTGATGGACTACAATCTCAATACAAACTAGTAGTCCATCACTGGAGCCTTTTTTTCTCTTTTTTATCCGATTAACCGATTAATCGAACTTAATAATCGGCCAACTAATCGATTATGAAAATAATCGTTAGCTGCAGCCCTAAATGCAATGCACATCAAACACTTTACAAATTGTGCTGCAAACTCAGCGCAATGCAACTGCATTAGTGCATGTGTTATGGTGTGAATAGACCCTTAGATGAAACATAAAATCTGTAAACCTGCTATTATTTAAAATCAAGTATCCCCAAAATGTACAAAGATGACACGAGAGTGATAACTGTGATTTGACAGTGAACATCTGATATTGATGATATGTTGCCTAAATATCTTTTTGATGTTACATCGTGTCTCTCTCTGTCCTTTACTGTAAAGTAGGATAGATGAAGTGAATACTATTCTACATTGGTTTAGAAAAAAACCTGAAAGCCTTATCAATAATATTTCCCTGTTCATGAAGGCACAAATATACCTCCAATCATAATGGGATAAATATAGCTACAAATAATGTATCTCCCCAAAGCGTTGTGCCCTTGGATTCAATATGTTCTCCTCTCACTCTCCACAGACAGGCTAACATTCTTATAGCCACCAATGTTATTGAGATGAACAAACCGAGGGACTCCGACACTATACTGCCCTTTACTTTCTATCTTACATTTTTCTTTTTCTCTTCCTTTACTGTTCACTGTACTCTGAGGGACTTTATCCCAGCCCCCAATATTTCAGGTCACATCACTCTAATAACTACATCTGTTACCAGAATGTAGTTCTGGAGAAGAAGAATCTGGAGCTTATGCCTATAGCAACCAATCAGCTTTTCTCTACTGTTTGTTCAGTTAAGGTTTGAAAATGAAAGAGAGAAGCTGATTGGTTGCCATGCACAGCTGCTCCAGATTTTGTCAACTCCAGTTTTGATCAATTTCCCTCTATGTCTTTATTGCTTGTCACCAATATGATAAAAAAAAACTTTTGAAAATATAAAATAATTTATCTAAACGTTGTTAAAAAAATGATGTGCATATTTTGTTTGCCAAGAAAATAAGAAATGCCTTGGGGCCTCTAAAACAATACAAAACCTGTAACAGGAATAAACAAGTGACCATTCAAAAAATATCTATATCTCTGCTGACTTTTGACAGATAAATGTACCTTCCGATCTAGTGCAACATGTAACTCATATGGAGTACACGCCATCCAACCCGTTGACTTGCCAACTGTTGTGTGCATGGGGATAATGGATCCACCCCTCTGAAATACTGGAATCTGTAGAATTAGAAAAAGAATCTTATACAAGATCTTGGAAAATATCATAATGAAAACTTATCAGCACCATGACCACATACACAAGATGTTTTACTATATCACTGACTGGGGAACAAAAAACAAATGTGTTTAATAAAAATGACAATGTTTGGAAAATGGTATCTACACTCACCTCTGCCACAGTCACTGCCACTTTCTGTCTGTGAGACCCCTTCACACGTGTATATTTCCTGAAGTCATACCAGCACTGCCAAAAATAGAGAATTTTCTTTAGAGAGGGTAGTGCCCAGAAATAAATATTCAAGTCTCCTAAATAAAAGTAAAATTCCTAATTCTTGATGTTGTGGAAATTTTACTAGGATGTGTTTTTAGTGTATTGTAATATTTTGTCAAGATGTCTCTGTGTCTAGGTTTAAATAGGCACTGGGGTTGAACCTTTGGAGTAGATATCTTATGCATGGCGGAGCAGTGTCTTCTTAGCGAATGTGTGGACGCCAAGCCAGGGCCCCTGCGCGGTGCGCAGATTTATTGGTTTGGCGTGTATACAACTTGCTTTGAGGACATAGCATTATTTAAGATACATATCTGCCTTTATGAAAGGAACGTGCGTTTGTTCTCTCTAGTGCGCCTGATCAACCGCTGGAGATAATATGACGTTGTCCCTGTAAATAAGCACGCATGAGAATCATAGTAACGTTATTGGGCATTGATCACTGACCAATGCTGGATAAGGTTCTCCAGTGGTAATTGGAGATATGTTGATATGTTGTGTTGATATGTTAATATGTAGTAAGGAAGTGATGGTTTGCTATCACTTCCTGGTTTGCTGTTTGAGACATCACTTCCTGTCTGACATCACTTCCTGTCGGGCAGGTATAAAACAATAAACACATACCTGTGCTCGCTCTCTAAACATGGGATTAGCAAGCAAGCAGCATCTGTCTCCTGTGTCCTAACTCTACATGACTCAAAAGGAGGTACTGCCAGTCCTCGCACAAAAGAGCGTAATACAATTGTGCTTTTAAGCACAGGGGAAATTCTTTGTGTTTGGCGCACTCTAGCGCAGCATGGATTTGTGTGTTGAACCAAGTGAATTTCCATAACAAAATGGCGAGCCAGGTAGGATAGTTATTTAAACAAGGTTCGTTAATGAATGTAAACATATATATTCCGCATTTCATTAATTAGATCCAGTAATAAGTTACACTATACCTCTCCATTGCCAGGAAAGAGAACTTCAATGGATTTAACACCTGAGTCTAATACTGGGGCAACCAGTAGTGCATTCCCTGGGAATAAAGAAAACAAAATAAGGTATATGTCTAATATACCAATGGTTGATATGACCTATGATGAGGCATACATGTAAAAAGAAAACTTGAATATGAATAACAAAAAGTCTCTGATTACCATTTATTCTTTGGAAAAATATATATTTGCATGAACAGAAATTAAATGATAGATATAAAGAACAAAATGTAATTATTAATCAAGGTATATGTCAAGTAGTCATAGTGACCAGTTAAGAGATTTCTAATATATATTTTCCATGACAGAACCTGGAAGCTGTAATATGCTCTAATATTCTTTACTTATGGTCATGATTTCTTGCAGGGAGATGAGCACTAGCTAATTATATGACATTTGGTGATATGATCTCTGGAATATTAAAAGGTTCCAGTCTCCCACTCTGTTCACCAAAAACATAAATCTGGGTCTTCACTACTGCTGCCTCTGCATGTCCTGTGCAGTTTCTTTGGATACATAGTATGCAATTTAATTATTCGGTTTAGTTTATAATGTTGTTTATGTGTTTAGATGAAGCACTGAAATCTTGAGGAATGATGAATTAAGTTTTACTTGTTAAGAAGAACGTTACATGTATGTATACATCATTGTACCAGAAACAT